CGGTGAGACCTAGTCTCTACAGAAAATCAAAAATTTAGCCAGGCATGTGGCTAGCTTGTAGTCCTAGCTACTCAGAGGGCTGAGGCAGGAGGATCGCTTGAGCCCAGAAAATTGAGGCTGCAGTGAGCCATGATCATGTCACTGCATTTCAGTCTGGGTGACAGAGTGAGACCCTGACTCAAAAATGAAAAAGAGTCTTTTCCCAGGGAACCTCGTGTTTAGTAAGTGTGAATGATGGTATTAAGTCAAAGTCTCAGGCCACCAACTAACAAAGCCCAGAGCTCAAGGCTAATTATGAATCACAGGGTGTTTCTGCTAAGAGACTCAAAGCCTGAGCGCCCTGGTTCACGCGCTTCTGCTCCTTGGGAGGGACTGCATTGGAGCACCCAGACAAGCTGTTTGTCCTCTGCCTGTCTGCTCTGTTTGCTGACTTCACAGGCCAGTGACAAGCACCAGGCTGCACCCCCTCCCCACCAGCTGGCCTGAGTCACTGAAGTGATTGAGGACGCGCTGCCTGGGGGAGGAAGTTGTAATTAGGGCAGCTTTGTGGCCCTTTAACTGCCATCCGTCACAGCTGCCAAGCGGCACCGGGGCAGCGTGGGCTATTAGGCCGTCGTGTGCAGGGCTCCAGAAAGCCTTCTCCTGCTGGAAACCCAGGGCCCAGTCCCTAGCCCGCTTCTGTGGCTGCCCCCTCCCTGAGCGCCCTGCAGATGGGTTTGAGGTAAGCTCTCTGGAGGTCCTGTGAACAGTTAGTGCCATCTGTGGCAGTAGAAACTGCTAGAAAACAGGAAACTGCTGCATGTGGAGCTGGGGTGGGCTCTGCAGACGTGAAGATTTATAAAAAGGAAAATCTGCGAATTCTTGCAATATTTGTCACACTGAGTGTGGTCCATTTTAGACAGCAGTGGCCCTGTTCCTGTCAGGGATTCTCTTTCCACTCCCATTAGGCCACGGGGCACCCTCCCCTGGCATGGGCCCGCCCAGACTGCCTTGACGTCCCTTTCCCAGCTGGGTAGTGAAGACTCAGAGAAGGCCACATAAAGATGGGTCCTCAGAGGGACCTCACCCTACACTGTCATTTATAGAGAGGGAAACTCAAGACTGCCTGGGCTTGCCAGATGATGGGCACTTAATTTAGTCTCTAAGACTTGGGCTGTGACACCATTGTGAAGCATGTGTGGTATGGGGTTTGCGTTAAAAATAAATGGGTGCTGGCTAGCATGTTGCTGGGAGCAATGGGAGCTTCACCTTTTGCAAGTCTGTCCAGGTGGTAAGTCTCTCCCACACAACTATGCCGAGGGAATGGGCCAATGCTCACAGCTGTCCACATGATTGTCCTGGTGGGTAGATCTTGCATCCATGTTCTGGACCTCAGTCTTAGAATCCTAAAATCTGGCCGGGAGTGGTGGCTCACGCCTGTAATCTCAGCACTTTGGGAGGCTGAGGTGAGAGGATTGCTTGAGCCTAGAAGTTCAAGACCAGCCTGGGCAACCTGGCAAGACCGCATCTCTATGCTAAATCAAGATATTAACCAGGCATGGTGGTGCACGCCTGTAGTAGCTATGAGCGTGCCACTGTATTCCATCTTGGGTGACAGAGTGAGAATCTGGCTTAAAAAAAAAGAAGAATTTTAAAATTTTAGGAATGAATGGGACATCAGCTGTCTTCTAGTCCCATACCCTTCCAAGTATGGGAATCTTCTCTTCAGCTTTCTTACTAAGTGGTTGCTCCTCTGCTTGAATGCTTCTAGTGATAGAGAGCTTACTACCTCTGTGAGCTTGTCCGTTGTGATGCTGGACAAGCTGTCTCTGGTGGTGAACTGAAATCTGCTACTCCATAACTTCTGCACACTAGTTTTGACCTTTGGAGCTACACTGAGTCAGTTGCTTGCTTGCTTTCCTTTTTTCTTTTCTTCTTTTTTTTTTTTTGAGTCAGGATCTTACTCTGTCACCCAGACTGGAGTGTGGTGGCATCATCATGGCTCACCCCTCCTGGACTCAAGTGATCCTCCTGTCTCAGCCTCCCAAGTAGTTGGGACTACAGGTGTGTGCCACCAAGTCTGGCTAATTTTTGTATTTTTAGAAGAGATGAAGTCTTGCTATGTTGCCAGGCTGGTCTTGAACTCTTGGGCTCAAGAAATCCTCCTGTCTCGGCTTCCTTAAGTGCTGGGATTACAGGACAAACCACAGAACCTGAGTCGGGTTGCTTTCTTTGTCCCACGACAGCCCTTCACAGGTACCAGGAACATGCTCATGGATGCCTCACATCTTCTCTTCTTCTGGCTGTTTATCCACAGCTCCTTCAATGGATGCTCAGATGTTCTGGTTTCTGGGTCCTCACATCATCCTCTAGACGTTTTTCAGGAGTCCAGTTTGTCATTGGTCTTATTGTTGTTCACAGGGGAACTGAGCACAGCACTACGGGTGTGGCCTCATGAGGGCATTGTAGAGTGAAACCACTACTTCTTTTTTTCCATACTTGATATTTCTATTAATCTGGTCTCAGATCACATTCATTTTTGTGGACAGCCTCCTTTTTTCATTACCATCAGTAAAAAGCCCTAAATCTTCTCCTTGGGTGGATGTTGAGCCATTGTTTCTGTGCCAGTTGGTTTTCTGTCCTCAAGTTCTCGTCCTGACATTTGTCTATACAAGTTCAGGTTTTTAGATGTGTCTGCTGCTTAATTTGCATCTAGAGCTTGTCGGACAAGGTATGCTCTTTCCTTTCTTTTTCCCACTGTTCTACATACTTAGTCAAGCCCCTAATGTGAAAGTGCAACAGGTCAGGGCTTGAATGGGCTGTAAATAAGTAAAAAATCAAGGTCTGTGGGGTTAAGACATGGTCTGGGTTTTTTTCCCTCAGAGTAAGCTTGTTGAGGGACAGGGAAGGGGTGCATGGGGCTGGGGCCAGATTGGGGAGCCTGAATTATTCGGTTATGGGCCAGGCTCTAGGCCCCATGAGTTCAGGGGCACAGAGAGGTTAGAGAAATACCTTTTCCACCCAGTCAGTTATGCCTTTGTGCCATCATTTGAAATTCCTTCCTCTGCTCAGGATTTTTGCTCGTTAAAAGGAGACACTGCCTTAACAAAGTGCTCACCTAGAAGTATGGAGGCCTGGGCTATTAACTCTGAACTTCAGTTTCCCTGCTTCTTGCATTTCCATAGAATGATAGGTATATATGACCTACAGTAACTGCTTAATCTCTTAGGAGTTCAGACCTCTCTGAGCTCTGCATGTAAGCTGTAGACTCTAACATATGCACAGAACTTCTCAGTCCCTTGCCTAAGAATGCCAGAAAGAGAACTCTTGAGGCCTTCCTGCTTCTGGTGTCTCTCAGGTCCACACCTTGGGTAAGCCTGGCACAACTGAGCACAGCTGCACAGCACTGCACAGGACGCCCTCACATCCCTCCTTCTGTTGCTCCTTACACCAGCTCCAAGAGGGATGCAGGGGTTATCACCCCCACTTAATAGATGGGGGATGCAAAACTTGGAGGCCTCAAGCTTCAAGTTCAAACTCAAGACTCATTTAAGGTCAAACTGTTAGTGGTCCTTAAATATTCACTTAGGGACCAGCACCTGTGTGCCAGGTCTCTATAGCATACATACGTGTTTATTTATATATCTATTATTGCCATCCGTGTCTTCAAACACCATGACTTTCATGAATTTGCCTCCATTCCCAGATCGGCACCGTGCTTGAGGAAGCATCGACCGACGACCTTTTAGATCAGAGTGCACAAGTTTTCTGCGACTTTTTCAAGGCCACCCAATATTTCTTTGTGGAAACTGGGGCTTGTACCCAGAAGGCTGGCCCAGGCATCGACTGAGTCACAGCAGCCTCTTCCAGCAAGGCAGCACATGGTGTAGACGCAGCATTTCCTTTTATTGGGAAGGTGGTTTGAATTAAACCTAGATGAAGCACACGTGAAAGGGTTAACAAAGGGTCCAAGTTGTCAGTGGTGGTGATGGGCTGGGCTGGGCTGGGCTGGGCTGGGCTGGGAAGTGGAGAGCTTCTTCCCCTGCGGTCCTTCTGTAGTCCTTCTGGCAGGGTGGTCCTACCTCTGCTGGCTGCTTCTCCTCCCAGCCGACTGCCATGTTTGTGGCCACAGCATCTTCCCATAGGTTCAGGTTCTAGTTATTTGTTCTCAAGTCCCTCTCTGTTCCTCCTACAAGGTTGCATTCAACTAGCATGTTCAAGTGCTGTAAGAGGTACAGAGATGGATAATTCAGTTCTTGCCTCAAGAAGCCTGTAAGGGCTGGGCGTGGTGGCTCAGCCTGTAATCCCAGCACTTTGGGAGGCTGAGGAGAGAGGATTGCCTGAGACCAGGGATTCAAGACCAGCCTGGGCAACTTGATGAGATCTCATCTCTACCATAAATCACAAAAACTAGCCGGGCGTGGTGACATGCGTCTATAGTTCCAGCTACTTGGAAGGCTGAGGCAGAAGGATCACCTAAGCCCAGCAGGTTGAGGCTGCAATGGCCATGAGCATGCTGCTGTACTCCAGCCTTGATGACAAGAGTGAGACTCCAACTCAAAAAAAAAAAAAGCCCATAAGAATGAAAGCTTCCTAGGGAAGCTTACTGACTGGGGCAAGAGACAGGAGCACAGAGACTGTCATGCAAGGCCACCATGGCATGGTCAGTGATGGAGGGTGGGACAGTCTCCCACATGGGAGGGTAGCTAATACTGACTCGTGGAATCTGGGAAGGTGTTCTAGAGGTGATGGCACTTGAGCTAGTTATGGGGAAGATTTGGATGAGGATAAAGAGTGCTGCAGGTGAGGGGAACTGCCTGAGAGAGGCATGGAAGGAAGAAGGCATGGGGGGGGTCGGTGGAGAGGCTTGCTGGCCAGCGCAAAGGGAACATGGGTTGAGTGTCTGATGATGGGGTCAAGGCCAAGCCAGTGTTGGTGCTGCAGGTTAACATTGGCTTGAGAATAGTGAGTATCCACGAAGGGCCCCTGGCTAATGCGTGCTCTCTTCTGTTGCAGAGGACATGCCACTGAAACACTATCTCCTTCTGCTGCTGGGCTGCCAAGCCTGGGGTGTAGGGTTGGCCTACTATGGCTGCCCTAACGAGTGCACCTGCTCCAGGGCCGCCCAGGTGGAGTGCACGGGGGCACGCATCATGGCAGTGCCCACCCCCCTGCCCTGGAATGCCATGAGCCTGCAGATCCTCAACACACACATCACCGAACTCAGCGAGTCCCCATTCCTCAACAACTCGGCCCTCATCGCCCTGAGGATTGAGAAGAACGATCTGTCGCACATCGTGCCCGGCACCTTCCGCCACCTGGGCTCGCTGCGCTACCTCAGTCTCGCCAACAACAAGCTCCGGGTTCTGCCCATGGGCCTTTTCCAGGGCCTGGACAATCTTGAGTCGCTCCTTCTGTCCAGCAACCAGCTGGTGCAGATCCAGCCAGCTCACTTCTCCCCATGTGGCAACCTCAGGGAACTGCAGTTGCATGGAAACCACCTGGAGTACATCCCGGACGGCGTCTTCGACCACCTGGTGGGCCTCACCAAGCTCAACCTGGGCAAGAACAGCCTCACCCACATCTCCCCCCGAGTCTTCCAGCACCTGGGCAACCTCCAGGTCCTCCGGCTGTATGAGAACAAGCTCACGGATATCCCCATGGGCGCTTTCGATGGGCTGGGCAACCTCCAGGAACTGGCCCTGCAGCAGAATCAGATCGGCATACTGTCCTCTGGCCTCTTCCACAACAACCGGAACCTCCAGAGACTCTACTTGTCCAACAACCGCATCTCCCAGCTGCCACCCGGCATCTTCCTGCAGCTGCCGCAGCTCAACCGCCTCACCCTCTTTGGAAACTCCCTGAAGGAGCTCTCTCCGGGGGTCTTCGGGCCCATGCCCGACCTGCGAGAGCTGTGGCTCTACGACAACCACATCACATCTCTCCCTGACAACGTTTTCATCAACCTCCGGCTGCTGCAGGTCCTCATCCTGAGCCGCAACCAGATCAGCCTCATCTCGCCGGGCGCCTTCAACGGGCTCACGGAGCTTCGAGAGCTGTCACTCCACACCAATGCGCTGCAGGACCTGGATGGGCATGTCTTCCACGCATTGACCAACCTGCAGAACATCTCCCTGCAGAACAACCACCTCCGACAGCTCCCCGGGAATATCTTCGCACATGTCAATGGCCTCACGACCATCCAGCTGCAGAACAACCAGCTGGAGAACCTGCCCATGGGCATCTTTGATCACCTGGGGAACCTGTGTGAGCTGCGACTCCATGATAACCCTTGGCGGTGTGACACGGACATCCTTCCGCTCCACCACTGGCTCCTGCTCAATCAGCCCAGGGTGAGGACAGACACTCTGCCGGTGTGTTTCAGCCCGGCCAATGTCCGAGGCCAGTCCCTTACTATCATCAATATCAACACTGTTGTTCCCAGCATCCAAATTCCTGAGGTGCCTAGCTACCCAGAAACGCCGTGGTACCCAGAAACACCCAGTTACCCTGACACCACATCCATCTCTTCTACCACTGAGTTGACCAGCTCCGTGAAAGACTACACTGATCTGACCACCATCGGGGTCACTGATGACCGCAGTGTCTGGGGTATGACGCAGGCCCAGAGTGGGTTGGCCATTGCCGCCATTGTAATCGGTATCATTGCCCTGGCCTGCTCCCTAGCTGCCTGCATCTGCTGTTGCTGCTGCAAGAAGAGGAACCAAGCAGTCCTCATGCAGATGAAGGCACCCAATGAGTGCTGAAGAGGCAGGTGGAGCAGGGCTGGGCATGATGGGACTGGAAGATCTGGGAATGTCATCTTTGTGCCTTCACCTCTGGGTCTACAGGGCTAACCCCAATTGTGCTTTCTGGGCCCTGGAGCAAGATGCCCACATTTTCCTGACCTGCCTGGCTCTCCTGTGGAGACGGAGGTCTTGTAGGACTTTCCACCAGGAAGATTCAACTGGGCATGGCAAAGACCCTGGGGATGTGAATTTCCGGTTCACATCCCAGAGCTTCCTTCAAGAGGCTCCTCCTCCACATCCCACCACCTCTCTTCCTAGGAACAACCTCCTGGCACCCAGGCCCTCTTCTGGCCTCTGGAGACTCAGTCATTACAAAGCCTGCTCACTACGTGGGAATAGTTCTCCACTGAGATAGCCCCTCTCCCCAGGTATTATGGAAGTTGACTTTTCTTCTTTTGCTCGTTTCTGCCAGGCCTGACCCTGTTCCCTCCCAGTGAAAGTTCCCCCCTTGTTTCTGCTCCTGAAGGCAGGGTGAGTTCTCTCTTCAAAGAGGATTCCAAACCATCGTTTCTTAAGCACTACTGAGCACTGTGGCTTTGAAGATGATGTGTAACAGAGAAGGAACAAGCACACAGCACCTGGAGACAGAGACGCCATCAGCATCCCCTCTGGAGATTTCTACCAGGAAAAGGAAGAAAGGCACCAGCACAACACCATTTAGAAGATACTTTCAAACTGCAGACTTTGCTTTGAAAAATTTAGACATTTAAAGAATAAAATCATGTAGAATTCCAGACTTCTAAAAATACTAAAATCTGCTTCTTGTTATTGGATGGAAAAAGAAATCTGGTTCCTGGGCGTCCTGTGTTCACCCTGAGGGTTTTCTTTTTTATATCTTTCATTGGAGTATGCATGCAGAAGAGTGGGAACACGTGAGAGTGTACGGCTTGATGAATTTTCACAAGATGAATACACCTGAGTAATCAGCGTCCACATTGAGAAACAGAATCTCACCAGTAGTCCTGCACTGGGCTTCGCCTGGAGAAGACTGGGCCTTCTGAAATGGCATGGACTTCCCTGGGACCTGGCTCCTGTGAGCCAGGTGAACCCCTCACTGTTCCCCACAGCCAGTGCAAATGCCCAGCTGCCAGTGGTGGAGGAGAAAATCGGGGTATGGACAGGATGGGAGACCTCAGCCTGGACAGGAATGATTGCTTTAAACCCTGAGACCCGGAGACCCAGGGCCTCCAGGCTAGCCAGGTCAGAAGCATCCTGATGACAGAGCCCCATGCAACCACACCCTCTTCCCTGCCAACAAGCTGTCTGGTGCTCATTGGACGCCCCTCTGCTTGGGCCCTTTTATGGGCATGATATGCCTGGATCTGGCTTTAATTTTCATTCTTCATTTGGGGAAAGTGAAATAGTTCAGAGATGAGATCCTTTCGTTGAAAACCAAGGGTAACAGAATCCAGCAGACTCTCTACTGTTGTGGTAAAATCCTCCATCAACATTACAGTTCACTAGCCCCTAAACTTCAGAATTTTCACCTAAAGCAGGCAACATTAGGGTCGGGTCACATAAGGCCTGAGGACTCTCTGGGGCTCCTCCTGCCTGTGGTCTGACTGTAAGAGTTGAGTAGTTTGTCCCAGGGTTCTCTTCCTTGACTCACAGTCACTTGAGTACCTGCTTTTGCTGTCCTTCCTGATTCACACATTATAAAAGAAACTATGCTCATGACAATGCGTCTTTCTCTGGACAACTGGTCTACCAGTCTAGAAGTAAAAACAGTGAAATAGAGAATTTTAGGTCTCCACCAGGAAAGAGCTTCAGCTGACTCTATGGGAATTTAGAAACCTACCACCAATCCTGATTGACTCTTATTAGTTCCCTCTGCTCACAAGACAAATATGAAACCTCCCAGGGCCTAGGCAGCATGCTGCTGACAAATTTCCCCTTAAGTCCCCGTAAAAAAGGGGCCCAGGAAGGGATGTTTGTAGACCCTAGTGTACTTTGTAGTTTTTCACTCTCTGTCCCAGAAAACCTGGGAGAGATGGGGCCTGTCGAAGTCAAGAGACATGATCCTCCAGGAAATCTGGATCTCCAAGGTGTTTCCAAAACATCTGTAGTAACTAGAGGACCTGTACTAAGACTTGCCAGGGCCCAAAGGGAAGTGAGTCCCGAACTTGGTGTCTAAACATCATTCCACTGATGATGGCTGCCATATATTGGTCCTGGGGCCAAAAGGGGCAGCTGGGCCTGCCCTCTTCCAGACAGGAGGCATGGCTGGTCCCACACTCATCATTTCCCCAGATGTCCTGCACTCCTTGTGAGTTGGTGCCAGCATCTCTTTGTAGGCACAGATGGACTAGGGCTGGAAGGGTAGAAATCCTCCTCGCCCAGTGGATCCTGCCCATCTTAACCCAGAATTCCTGGATATTTCTGACATAGGTATGACATTGGCTGGCTAATGTCAAAGTCTGGTCTGAGGGCCGCTGTCCTCAGATGACACCAACCGGGAGCAATCTAGCAAGGGTAGGGGCCGCTTTATGTGAACCTTTGAACTTGCTTCTTCCTTTCCTTCCCTCAGCAGGCCCTGCAAGCTCCCTGTCTCATGCTGTCTGGCCAGTGAGCTACCAGAAAAGTTGGGTGCAGTCTCTTTTTCCACAGGACGGTGCATTTACTCTATTTTGGGGTCTGGCATTAACCACTTGGTCCCCCAAAAGGTAATGGGGTACAGAGTTCAGTTTGCTTCCCCCCACCATCGGCTGGCTCCTTGCCAGTTCCACACCCCTCTGGAATGGGAGCGTGAAGTTCATATTGGAGGAAAGCCAGTTAGAACCACTGTTCTTTACAAGTGCTTCTTGTGCATGACACCCTTCAGAGCACTGGACACGGCTCTTTTGAGTTCTCACAGCACCCCTGTGAGTCCTAGCATCCTTGTGGTCGGGTATAGAACCACTTGTTCTTCCACACATCGTGCAATAGGCTGTAGGTTCTACTTCTCTCTTCAAATTTTGTCCAGGACCTCATGGCCTGTCTTGGGCTCTCATTATTAAGCCAAAGAAAATAGGAGTCACCCTCCTGCTTCTCCCCATAGTCTTGGCCATTGGAACCTCACTTGTACTCTGTGGGTCAGAAGCTTTGTAACTACAATAAATGGTTAAATGTGTCTATCCATTAAAGAAAACTCAGCCCCTCTCATGGGAATTGTGGGACTGTGTATATATTGTTCCTCCTCTTTAGAATTTAGAGATTCTGGCCGGGCTCGGTGGCTCATCCTGTAATCCCAGCACTTTGGGAGGCCGTGGTGAGTGGGTTGCCTGAATCCATGGGTTCGAGGCCAGCCCAGGCAACTTGGTGAGCCTTCATCTTTACAATAAATAAAAAATTAGCCAGGTGTGATAGCACACTCCTATAGTCCCAGCTACTTGGAAAGTTGAGGCAGATGAATTGCTGGAGCCCAGTGGGTCAACACTGGGGTGACCGTGAGCGTGCCGCTGTACTCCAGCCTAGATGACAGAGTGAGACCCCAACTCGAAAAAAGAAAAAGAATTTAGAGATACCACAAAGTTCTTATAACTTTTCATGGGCAACAACACAAATTCCACAGCCTTTCAGATGTCAGCATGGAGCTGTTTCAGGAATGGACTTCCAAACTCAGAAACAGCAGACAGCCAGAGATCACTTGGGATCTGGAGTCACCAGACTTTGGTTGTCTCCTGGCCTTTAGCTAGAAACCCCTCAGGACTTCACCCCCAGATCCCACAGTCAGAACTGAAAGCCGGTTGCTAGGGAGGCAGCGGTGGTCCTGGGAAGAAAGTCACAGCTATGGTTCCAAGAGGGTAGACCAGCAGGCCACTTCTGGGTGAGGCTCCTTCTGGTGCCAGGTTTCTTCTTCTCCTGAGGAGAGCTTGTTCTCACTATCCCGTTGCCTTCACGCTGCCTTCACAAGCATGTTTGCCTTGCTTAGAAAATCACTACGAATAGTCCCTGGTACTTGGGCATGCATTTAGAGATCTCTAGGCCCCCAGGGTTTTATAGAGCGTGAGTCCTGGAGGGCGGGGGTGGGGGATGTTTTCTGCTGGATGCTGCTTGTATTAAATTTGGTGTACAGATTCAACAATAAATGGTATATACAGGCCACGTGTGCTCTCTGTGGATGTCTTGGGTAGGGGATCGCACACCTGTGGATTAGGCTTTTGCCATGTTTATGCAAGGCTGATCCAGACAACTCCTCACAGAAAGTAGGTTTTGGGCTGAGAATAGGCCTTTGGAAAGTGAATGGGGACAAAAGAGAAAAGAACAAATGATATTGGATGGTCACAATTGTTCATGCCTGTAATCTCAACACTTCGGGAGACTGAAGCAGGAGGATCGCTTGAGGCCAGGGATTCGAGACAAGTCTGCACCACATAGTGAGGCCTTGAGACCTCCATCCCTACAAAAAGAATTTATTTACTTATTTGTTTGTTTGTTTGTTTTGAGTTGGAGTCTCAACATGTGCCACCACGCCTGGCTAATTTTTTGACTTATTGTAGAGATGAGGTCTCTCCAAGTTGCCCAGGCTGGTCTTGAACCCGAGGGCTCAGGCAATCCTCTCACCTCAGCCTCCCAAAGTGCTGGGATTATAGGTGTGAGCCACTGCTCCCAGTTTACAAAAAGAATTAAAAAAAATAAGTTGGATGTGGTGGTGTTTACCTATAATCCCAGCCACTCAGGAGGCTGAGGCGGGAGGATCACTTGAGATCAGGAGTTCAAAGCTGCAGTGAGCTATGATTGAGCAACTACTCTAGCCTGGTTGACAGAGTGATGCCCTGTCTCTAAAAAAATAAATAAATAAAATTTTAAAATGATATCTATAGGCCACTGTGATGAGAAGAACCTTAAAAATAGATTCAACTTATTTTATAGATGAAGAAAGTGAGCTCAAGATAGGAAAGAGATTTCTTTTTTTTTTTAGAGTTG